GCTTGCTTGTTTGCTTCTTCTCTTTCTTCTTTGCTCCTCCACCATTCTTCATCTTGCACTCATAGGACTTGTGACCTTCCTTGTGGCACACGTAGCAAACCATGGTTTATCCTTCATCAAACTTCTTCACTCCCTCGACGATGTTATCTTGATGAAGTTGGGCTTGCTTCGCCTTGCCTTTCACTTGAGTCAAGTCCTTGGTGAGGCGTGTTACTTCTTGCTTGAGTTGCTCATTCTCCTTTGCAACCTCTTGTGTGCATATATCTACAATAACTTTCTCAACACAAACTTGGTTGCACAAAGATGAGTCTAAACATAAATCATTACAAGAAGTAGAGACATCCTTTTTAGATATCTTAAAGATAGAACTTTTCCTTTTAAATGCCTTGGTGGGGGTTGTACTAACGGCTTCAAGATTAGTAACTTTATTAGTTAGCTCATCACAATGTTTGCATATGGTTTCCATTTTAGCAAGCAAACTTTTATAAGCATCTTGTGAGCTAGCTAACTTTTCTTTTAATTTTTCATTTTTCTTTATAAGTTGCTCATCATTAATTGTGCATGCATTTGTTGTTGCACTAGCCTCAAGTTGCTCAATTTTAGTAGATAGTTCAATATTAAGATTAGAAAATGTCTCATATTGTTCAAGCAAAGTTTTATATGTTTCTTGTGAACTATCTAGCTTTCCTTTTAATTTTTCGAGCTTCTTTTGTTGACTAGTGCAAACTTTAGCATAATTAAGATTTTGTTGCACAATTTCATCATAAGAAGGCATTTCATCATCACTATCACTCTCACTAGAGGATGAGCTTTCGTTATCTCATGCCATAAGACACATATGAGAAAGAGCTTGATGATGAGTGCTTGTGCCCGTGCCTTTTGTGATGGTGTTCTTCTTCACTTGAAGAATCATCACATGACTTTATTGATGTGAGGGCTTGGTTCTTGTATGCCTTCTTCTTTGTCTTAGGTGTGGGCTTGTTTGGACAAACTTCCACAAAGTGCCCCACCTCGCCGCATCCATAGTATGCTCTCTTTCTTTGCTCATTTGTTTGATTGGTGAAAATGAGATCTTGAATTTGGATGGGCACACTCTTGACATTGAGCCTTTAGATCATCTTCTCCACCATGTGGATAAGTTTGATTGATTCTTCATCAAGGTCGGAGGTGGAGGAGGAAGATTGATCATCATCACTTGATTCATCATCATCATCATCCTCATCTTCTTCTTTATCTTCACTTGAGGAACTTGAGCTTGAGCTTGTCTCAACTTGCATGCCCTTCATCTTCTTTTTCTCGCTGCATGCGAGGGCTTTGCCTTTGCTTGATGAGGAGGCTTCTTCTTGACCCATCTTACGTGACATTTCAAATGCCACTATCTTGCCAATAACTATGCCCGGGGTCATGGTGCTCAAGTCCTCCATGTTGTGAAGGATGGTGATGATGCTTGCATATTTCTTTTGTGGTAGCACGGAGATGATCTTCCTCACGATGTCCACATCATCTAGCTTTGTTAGTCCTATTGAATGGAGCTCATTGATAATTAGATTCAAACAAGAATACATATCACGAACAAGTTCATCATCATTCATTGTAAAGGAATCATAATTTTATTTAGCTAGACAATGTTTTTGCTCACGGACATTTGATGTGCCATCATGGAGCTCTTGAAGTTTTAACCAAATTTTATGTGCCGTATTTAAAGTGAACACTTGGTTAAACACATCCATACTAAATGATTCAAACAAGCAATTTTTAGCTCTAGCGTTGAAATGAATTTCCTTTTCTTCACTCTTCATGGGTTTATCGGGATTCTTAATGGGTTTTATCCCGTCCCGAGTGACTCTCCAAACTCCCAAATCAACCGTCTCAAGGTAGCAAGCCATTCTAGCTTTATAATAGGGGAAGTTAGTGCCGTCAAAGTGCGGAGGCCTAGAGGTATCCATCCCAACCACTCTAAATAGCGTCGGCTCAACGGCGGTTAAGCCAAAGGTCCAAATTGAGCCAACCGGCTCTGATACCAATTGAAGGGACCATGACGCCTAAGAGGGGGGGTGAATTAGGCAACTTAACTCTAAACTATGGCCTCTTTTTCTAACCTTAGTAAAACATATGCAAACGATAAACTATCGAAATGTGCAACTACGGTTTTGCTAATGTGTTGCTATCTCTACCGCAAAAGGAGTAATACAATCAATATAAATGCAGAAGCTAAAGAGTAAGGTAGAGATATGCAAACTCCCGTCGATGACTCAGGTATTTTTACCGAGGTATCGAGAAGCACACAAGCTTCCCCCTAGTCCTCGTTGGAGCCCCTCGCAAGGAATCCCTAGCAAGGGCCTAGCTCCCGGTCGGATAACTCCGTGGATAGCCTCGGGCCTTCCCCACGCGCAAGTGTGTCTCCGATGTGTCTTCCGGCAAACCTCTCCCTGATGCTCCCCGCCGTCTTCACTATCAAGCTTCCGGCCGAAACGCCGCGGGCCTTGTTCCCTCCGGTACACGGTGGCGGCCACACCACAAACGCGGTTGGTGTGGTCTCACAAGACTACAAGCCCCTCCGATGTACAACAATGGTGCGCGCAGCATCGAGTGGTAAGAGGTATGCAAACCTCATTGAACACTAGGCCTAAACCTAAAGCAAGCACATAAGCGGTGGTCTAATCAAGCTAAGCACTTCGCAAAGTACCTACGCTAATCACCTAATGAATCACTAAGCACTATGCAAGTGGAAATCACTAAAATAGTGTATCAACACCCTTGATATGTTTTCTCAGCTCCTCTCACCTCATTTGGCAGGTTGGGGGTTGTATTTATAAGCCCCACTGAGAAAGTAGCCGTTGGGATGAAATCTCGCTTTTCTGCTACTGACCGAACGCTGATCACGTCCTGACCGGACGTATCCGGTCGTCCCGACCGTTGGAGCCGCGAACAACTGATCGGACGCTGCCAACGTCTGGTCACATACCACCGGACGCGTTCGGTCGCATTTTCGCCGCTCTGGAACCTCTCTGTACTCGACCGGACTCTGCTGTCCTGACTTCGGTCGATCTGCCGCTAGCGTCCGGTCACTGCTGCTGCCGAGCCTCTTGATCGAGCGTCCGGTCACTTTGCTACCAGCGTCCGGTCACTTCTGTGAGCTCGTTTCTTCGCGATCTTGCGTACGGCTTGGTTTCTATCTTCATGCTTGGACTTTGCTTGATATCTTAGGTCTTCTCTTATGCTTCTAAGGTCTTGCTTATGGTGTTGATCATCAGATTATCACGTTGTCTTCGTCCAAGTCACGTCTTGCATTCTATTGAATTACAAAACAATCACTTGCAAATTCATTAGTCTAATTTGGTTGTGTTGATCATCAAACACCAAAATCCAAAGTAAATGGGCCAAGGGTCCATTTCCCTTACAAAAGTGATAGTAACATTGTTCATAAAATTCACATATCTCTCATATAATTTCATAAACCATAAGAGAGATGTAAAATTTGTAAACAATGTTACTATTACTTTATCGGATGAACAAATAACCAAAATAAAAGTTATAGATCTTGATCAGTTTTACAACTTATATGTTCATGACTTTTTCAACTGAAATCATTTACTGCTTCAAAATGTTGTTTAAAGTTGCTATTTTTTTAAATTCAAATTTTGAATTGATAGAACAAAGTCACATGAAAAGATGACAAAAACAATAGCTATAAGAACACAATAAATTAATAGAGCATGATTTTAGAAAATTTTAGGAAAAAAAGTTCATCAAATTTGAAGTTAGTACAAGGGAGAAAGACTAGTTACAAAATTTCGCTGCAGATTAAAAGGAGAAAACTTTTGTTCATGTTCTTCAATTTCTCGTATTTAAGCAATTATTTTTCTACTGAAAACCAGCAACCCATATTTCGTGGCGGTGGAATTTGACTCTCATAAAAATGATCACTCTCATGAAAATAGACAATTTCGTGGCGGGATAGTCATTTTCATGAGGGGTACTTACATACTCTGACGAAAACAGCTGATTTCATGACTGTATGTGAAGCACTCTCATGAAAATGAGTTTTCGTGATGGGATTTACGCCACTCTCGTGAAAATAATATCATTTCCATGAGAGTGTGTTTTAAACTCTCACGAAAAAATGTAACCCTCACGAAAATCTCCATTTTATGATAGTGTAGAGATAGTTAAATGGGCAAAGATGGACTTTTTTCTAAAGAAATATATGTCATGAAACCGAATAAACGCTGGTCGTGATTGAACAAAATAAAAACTTCAATCGTGGTTAACAAGTTTTCAAAACTTAATGATTTGTTAGTGCACATATGTGTGCAACGACAAACAAGAGTGTAAGACCAAGAGGGTGAGGTGATGAGGTGAGGTGAGGTAACTCTAGAAAGTCCAATTGCAAGTGTTAACATATGATAGGAGCATTTCTCAGTGCGGGGTGCCCATCACTGACCTCACCTCGCACTAGCTTGCCATCGTCGTCTTAGCAGCACTCATCCACGATCCAGCTGCTACCCTTGCATTTTGCATTGCCAGATCTACCCCACCAGTAGTAGTACTATACTACACTCCTCTCTTTTTAGCTAGCAATTCAACCAGCTCTCTTTTGTATATGTGTATATATATATAACCATATGCAGTGTGGCTAGCAGTACAGAGAGGATCTGGTATAAGCAAGCAAGTGTACTCATCAGCAAAGCATCCAGCATTCCAGCTAGCTAGCAGCTAGTACTAGAATCTATATATCGTACACAAGTAGTGGAGGCATCTATCTGCGGCAGTCCCTTTCTTCTTCCTCTCAATTGATACTTGATAGGTGCATCGAAGCTTGTTTCGTTGGGTGGCCTTTGTCTCTGTCTGCCGGCCAGCCGCCAAGCTATTAAGTCCATCCAGCGCCAAGCAGCTCACAGATCGGTCGACGACGGGGACAATTCGGAGGGAGGAGCGAGGAGAAGGACACCATCAACGCCTGACCGTTGCCGTAGGAGGAAGATCGAGGAGGCCGACCGATGGACGATCATCCTCATCATCAGTCGATGGCGACACCGGCAGCAGCAAGCATGAGCAGCAGCAAGAGCAAGACGAAGCTGCAGGGTGGTGGTGAGCGTAGTAGTAGGGGCAGCGGCGGCGGCAACAGTCCGCCGGCGGCAATGAGGAAGGGGCCGTGGACGGAGGAGGAAGACGCCCAGCTGGTATGGTTCGTCCGCTTGTTTGGTGAACGCCGGTGGGATTTCTTAGCAAAGGTCTCAGGTTTGCGCGGTGGCGGGTGCATCCCTAAGCATGCATATATACATATATATACATATATGTATATAGATGCATGCTTGGGGATTGATGTAGAATGGGATATGGCGATGGGTGTTAATTAACCAGTTTCTTTCCTTGTTTCTCTCCTTCTTCTCTGTGCATGCGCATGTGTCGGCGTACTGATGCAGGTCTGAGGCGCACCGGCAAGAGCTGCCGCCTGCGGTGGGTCAACTACCTCCACCCGGGGCTCCGGTGCGGCCGCATCACCGCCGACGAGGAGCGCCTGATCCTGCAGCTCCACGCGCAGTGGGGCAGCCGGTGGTCGCGCATCGCCAGAAGCCTCCCCGGCCGCACCGACAACGAGATCAAGAACTTCTGGAGGACGCGCGCCAGGAAGCAGAAGGCGGCGGCGGCGGCGCAGCAGCAGCAGCAGAACAGCCGGAGCAGCAAGACGGCGTCGGCGTCGGCGTTCTCGGGGTCGTCGTCGTCCGTGACTGCCACCACGTCCAGCTGCTCTGGCTCTCCGAGTCCGAGCAGCGGCAGCTGTGGCACGGCCACGTCATCGTCCGCCGTGACCGTGTCAGCGCTGCGTCAAAGCAGCGGCAGCGGCGACGACGACGCCGAGTTCGACGAGGCATCTACCACCACCGCGGCAAGCCAGCATCAACATCATCACCACCAGCAGCAGCAGCAGGAGTGCTACGCCTCGGACCACTTCTGGAACGACATCGCGGCGGCGGAGGCGGCGAGCTACATGTTGATCGACGGCTGGGCAGGAGCCGGTCCCGGTCATCCCGCCGAGCCGCCTTCGTCGCCGGCGTGGGAGTACTGCTCGGATTACTCGCTCTGGAGGATCGATGACGACGAGTACTACAAGAAGATGCTCGACTCCTCCTGATCTATTGCCATCTGCATGCATATCGATCATTATCTTATTTGTTTTTCTCAGCTGTTTAGTCTAGCAGCTATGAATTCAAACGTTTGCCTTTAATTTCGTTGCATCTGTTCGTATGTTATATATAATAATACTAAGTACATATGTATTTGCATCTTCATACTGTAACTATATATAGCATACACGTAGTAACTTGAAGCATATATATATGTATGATACTACTCTGGATCATATTGTATAACATATCAGGACATACATGTAGATCATTATTGTCTTGTGATTTGTGAAAGAATCAGATGAAACTTAACAATTGTAGCTAGTAGGGTCATGCTGCTTCTATATTTATATATGTAATATGTATATTCATGCAATAAGATTATAAGTGATGATGAGTTTGAATATGAGATTGACAAGTACATTCTTCAGTAGCTTCTGAGCTCTATATGTTTGCCGTGAATCTCTTGATGCCCGGGCAACCTCTCTACTTATTTCAGAGCTAGCCTGCATATATAGCCTAAAAAAAGATGGTGATCTGCAATTGAATTTTACCTCTTGTGTTGCAGTACACCGTACGTTTTTTTAGGTGTGAATGAGTTCACTAAGACAATATCATGTCTTTTTACTAGCTAGTTTCTGCTTTGTATTATGACTGACCACATATATAAACTGATGGCCAGAGGATTATATGTAAATGGTGGAAGGAAGATACTGCGCATATATGCTTCAATACTGAGTTACTGACCCAACAATTTAACCACCAAATAATTAAATTAAACATGAAGCTAAGGACATGTTTGGATCATGCTTGATATTATAATCAGATAGAATAATTCCTAGGTGATCCAAACATCCAAGATTATGAGTTTGATTATAATACTCTAACTAATAGATTATTGTAATCCTAGAAAATCCATCTAAGTCCTAACAGGAGACTATAGATGAGTGGACAATAATCTAGTACCTATAATCTAGGATAAAAAAACAGATTATTATTACAATATAATCCTTCTCACAATTTAGATTCTAAGAATTCAAAAATGGTGCAAACATGTCATAAGGACTTGTTTATTAGTTACAAGTAATCTTGCCAGCTGGTGCTCTGTACAACCTGAGGCAGGCCATGGCCATGAACCAAATAGGTTAAGTGCACTGGCTGTCTAAGCTAGGTTCTGACTCCAAGCTCTCAATTTCCCCACCTCAAGAAACAAAAAACAAAGATCCTATAGAGAGCGGCACTGCAAACAGGGAGTTGCAAATGTGCATGCATGGGAATCTATATATCTAAATTGATTGATGCCATGGAATGGAATGGAATGGAATGAATATGATGGAAGGAACAAGGGCCCGTGCATTGCAGCATCGTCAAAATAAACCATCCATATCCATTCCAAAGCTGTGGCCAATTGGCCATTGGCCGGAGGAGAGAGATGTGGACCGTGCCAATCGATGCCATCGTACGTACGTGCAGGTCCCAATCCCACCTTTTTCCGTGCATCGATCGCATCCACCACCTTTCCATATCCCAAATAGTACTTGCGCCATTTGACAACAAGCCAAGAACGATTAGTAGCGGATCATCCAATATATAATAAATAACTATTGTATATAATACTCCTCCCGTCCTGAAACATAGTGCATTATGACTTCTAGAATTTCTACCGGAATATAAGACATTCTATATGGTGCTCATACTCATATTTGGCAAAGTTTGTTAATAATAAAACCATTATTTGAGAAGAAATTCCTTAAGGGCCTGTTCGGTTAGCAGGCTCAATCCTGGCCGGAACCGTTCCTGGTGATGCTTGACCGTATAAGATACAACAGCGTTCCTAGCCGGATCAATATATTCCAGGCTCAATCCCGTGCAAACCAAACGTGCCCTAATTGGGTTTAACCCATGGTTACATGCATTATTTGAGTATTACTTAAGTTTGCTTAAAACTTTTGGAACGCATCATATTAGAGGAAGAGGAAGTAGTAAACTAAAGCAAAAAAAACCCACACATTATTGTACCACATGAGTTTTCTATGCTTCGGGGACCCACATGTGCAGATAGATAGCCTTGCAAGTTGGAGCGCTATAGGGAAAGTAGAATATAAGAAAAATAGAGGCAGAAAGCTATAGTGATAAGAGGAATGCCCAAATGTAAGTATATTATCTTGTTTCTTCCTTTTTAAAATTGCTTTTGTCATCCGACCTTCTAACCCTAATTAACCTAGCATTATCAATGTGCTTTCTTTTTGCATCCACTAGATGTTAATCACAACCTTTTTTTAAGGCACAAACATGATAATTTTTAAGGATTTAGTTGCTCATGGTGATGTACTAGCCAAGATTTAATAGGAAGTCTTGCTTCATCATTGATACAGGATTTGTAAAACAACATGACCATAACACTTGTTTGTTGTGATTCTTTTTAGTACATCGATTTGAGAGTATTATATAGGAGCAAGTTTTATGCTTGTATTATACTAGTAGATAGATTTGAGATCGTACCATGCACATCAACTTACCACCCTTCCTCCCTATTAACTTTATAGAGAAATGCCCCTATATATCTCTAAATTAGCCATGGGAAATCCTAGCTAATTCCATTCTAAGCTATTTGGGAAGCTCATGTTGCCAACAAGTGATGCTCTACTATGGGCCAATGACTTTGATAGCGACACAAATGGAAGATAATTGGTCATGACTATGCCTAAGCATTTTAAGCCTAGCCCACCTAGGCTCCAAAGCTGGCCCATGGCCCATGGCCCATGCTAAAAAAGTAGGCTCACTCGAGTTATTAGACATGCTTAAGCCAAGCTGGTAGGCGCGAAAGAAATTGGGCCTAGCCCAAGCCCAGCCCAAAGTTCATTTTACCCATTTCCCTATATTCTGCTCTCGTGGGCTGTCCTTGTATTGTTCCTCTGTGTTGCCTTTGATATGTACTCTAACTTGTAAATTCCATTATGGAGGTCATTCCGGTTTACTCTTTGGAACGGTATATTTCGGTACCGGTGCATTCCGGCGTACCATTCTGGATTTTTATGTTTTTATGGAATATATAAATTATTTTTTATATCTAACCTTTTCTAATACGAGGAATTAGACCATCAGTGAATATTTATAAGAAAATAGAAGAGGTATGTTTGGGCCAGTCTGTAGGAACGCACTAAAAACAGTATAATAATAAGTAGTTTTGGGCCGGTCTAGCATTGGGCTTTTACCCTAGTCAACGTAGCAAAGCAAATCGGATTTAGCTCCGGCCATACGTTCCACCGCCGCCTCCTACCTCCTAGTACTCCAACCAGCAAACCAATGTGAGAAGCTCCAGGAGAGGCAAGAAGGACCAGCACTGCCTTTTGCGTCATTTTCATTCCTGGGCGGCTATCATCAGCGCATGCAGCAGAGCCAAGAAGCAGGCAGCGAAGTAGAACGACTTCGTCTCCGCATCGACGGTACCGGGATAGCCGAGGCTCCCGGAATCGTCGGCCTAGTTGTTCTCTGCTTGTAGTCTCTTTTTGTCCCTTGATCTAGTTCTATTAAGGCTTTGTACTTCCGCTGGTTTCGATAAATACATGTGTAGATGATTGGTTTGCTTTGAGTCAGGCAATCAGCCTATGGTTTGTATCCGCATTTGGAGTAAAATAAGGGTCTTTTTATGGTCATTTGGAGTAAAAATCGAACATGTAAGACGCAAAGGGTAGTAAAGCTTTGAAATATCATACAAAAAGGTATAGTTCCCAGTAGTATACAAGAAATGTTCCTCAGCTACATTTTTATGGACGCACAACTCTCATGACTATTTGTTGAACTAAACTAAGCCTAAGTGCAAAAAAAAAAAACACATAATAAAATGAATCATAGACCATAATTAGTAAGCTTCGAGTGAATGGAACATTATTTTTTTGAGCTTATGTTATAAGCGATTTTGTTTTTGGAGTAGAAAATACCACAGTCGACTAGTCGAGTGTGCACTGGTCCGTAACAGTGACCGTTGGATCGAAATACAAAGGGGAAAAAAAAACAAAAATCTCAAACCAAACCACTCCTCCCGAGCCCCGTCACCGCCGCCGCTGCTTCCACCCGATCCCGCTGCCCCACCTGCCGCCGCATCTCCTCCCCGGAACTGGGACTACTCCCGGGAAGCTACAGGAACCAGCTTTCCTCTCTCTGATCCTCGCGGAGCGGCTAGTCCCATCTCCCACCGAGAAACCCTAACTCTCCGGCTGAGGGGCGGCGAGGCCATGAGGGGCAAGAAGCCGGGAACGGAGCTGAAGCTGGCCGTGCCGGCGCAGGAGACCCCCGTCGACAAGTTCCTGTTAGTCGTCTCCTTGTTTCGTTAGCCTAAAAATAGCATCTTTTTATCCCCTCTTTAATTTTCTGCTCTTTTGATTTGAGTGACCACTGACCACCTTATGGTTTGATTCGCAAGTACTAGTACAATCTAGTTCTGGATCATGCATAACTTTTGTGTTCCCCTTGATTTGATCATGAGTTCAAATTTAGTATTTGGGAGTTATTGAACAGCTGCCAGAATTGATGTCTTCTATCGATGGTCCCATTTTAGGACGGCGAGTGGTACATTCAAGGATGGTGAACTACGGCTTAATCAAAGAGGGTTGCGGCTTATCTCAGAGGAAAATGTGAGTCCTGGATCGGCAACTACTGCCTTTGCTGTTTGTTGATTAGTCCAACTGTACTCTTGTGGAATGTAGCTTATTTTCGCATTGATGATTTGTATAGAAGCACCTGTATCAGTTCACTGGTAAACCTTTTAATTACTTTTTTGAATTACCCTTTTTATGGAATGCATTGTACCCATGCAACTCATACAAGGGACCTTTATCTTTAAAAATTATTGATTTTCCATTTCTGGTTAACCTTGAAGATCAAATGTGGATTTGAAATGCATGGAATTTATACTCTGGACACTATTAGTTGTTCCTGGTTATTAAGTCCCACCGTAAGAAGTTTTTCCAGTCAGTGGGAGCAGCATATGTTTTCAGTTTTCCCGAAT